CCTGTACGTCTGTCAATGAAACTGACTACGTGAACCTGCTGAAGGATAAAACACTGCAGTTGCTGGTGGTCACCGTGGGAACTGGATGTTTCCTACAACGAGAATCCCACGACAGCAAGTCAATGGATTTGCCTGGACAGCAGGCACGACTTCTGGAACTGTCCAACACGCATGCGCCGAACCTGCCAGTCGTATTGCTGGTCTTTTCAGCCAGTCCTGTCAACATTAGCCGGGCGGTCAATTCTACACAGGTAAATTTAGTTGGATTTTGTCGTTCTGTATAGACAACTGTACCCACTGTTGGGGCTTTGTGTAGACGTCGCTAGTTTATGAATTTCATCCCGTTTCTTTTTTGTGGTCTACTTAAGGTGCGCTCAATACTGTGGCTGGGATTTCCGGGTCAGCAGGCTGGCAGCATTGTGGCCAGAGTCCTCCTTGGTGGCCCTGATGCCTCGGTAACGCCTGTTGACGCTGAAGGTGAGGTTGATGGTTTCGTTCCAGAACAAGCAAGTCAGCATGACAAGGACGGTTACTGGTGGATTCCGGCAGGTCGACTACCTTTTACCTGGTATCGCAGCCTTGACGGATTAGCGGATATCACAACCTACAAGATGACTAACCAGACCTACCGATTCAATATGTTTTCGGTTTGCAAAAACCTCTCCAACATAACTGAACCTTGTATTCAAGTTGAATTCCCCTTTGGTTATGGGTTGAGCTACAACAGACAACCAATTGGCGGTCCTTCCTTCATCTACCGCAACATGGACGTGCCGGCGCTCACAGTAGCCTCAACGGTGGGATTCACTTTCACGGTGGAAGTTGTAAATCAGGGTATCCTGGCCTGTGATGAGGTGGTTCAGGTACTTCCATTCTTTTCTTCTGTATGGTTCTTTGTTCAATTATTTCACTTTTTGTCAAGACGTGGAAATAGGAATCGCCTGCACCCCTATTTTTCAGGGTTATGACTTGCTAATATTTACCATTGATGGAATTTCGCACAAGGCTATGTGGATTACCGAGCTAGTCCTGTTGCCTAGTCTTACCCGCTTTTTTCTCTAAGTCTGTTGAACGATGATAAGGTAGACCAGTTATGCCTTATAGACAAGTCCTCTGACTCGGTCTGTTCACCAAAACACGTTCATGCGCCAGCCGACCGTCACTGGACGGGTTGCATAAATAGGCAATTTCATTTATCCACGCAGGATATCAACAGATCAACTTTGCCGTAACTTACTCACCGCTGTAGATTCTTGGTTTGGTGATTATTAGACCAGTTGGGACGCTGCCCACCAGACTGCTGGTTATCCGCATCCTCCCCGCGTGCCTAGTAATTTTGTGCAGGCGACATCGCAGCACATAATATGCAGGCGGAAGAGCAATGTTTGACTGCGACTCGATTAGGTTTTCTTTGAATGATTACATTGTTTGCATTTTGCCCAAATGTCAGTTCGACCGTCGGTTTTGACCATGTCCACCATGTGCTCCACAGCAGGGTGATGCAGGGACGGCAACTTGCGCTGAATTATACTGAAAGTAGACTTGCGGAACATCTACCTCACTCCCCCACTTGGTCCCGGTGTCAGGACAAAGTCAAAAGAACTGGAGATGGGAGAAGGTGCAGACCTGCGCACTGTGGTTCATAAAAATCAGAAAACCACAACAAAGTAGGGGGACGGCTTGGATCCCATTTGATTGGAAGTGCTATAAAGGCTACGTTAAAATGAACTCATTGCATCCTGACTCTCAGTCCGCCAGTCAGCCACTCCACATAACCCGCCGTGGACTGACCGTGCGATCCGAGTTGTCCTGTCATTTGGCAACCCTCCAAGCCACAGATTTTAGCTCAAGCAATCTTGGTGTGGTGTACCGTTAAATTGTGCATGCAAATGTACTGGTCATCCGTCCAGTTGACTTAAGATAGAAGGACATTTTAAAGGCAATCGTAAACGAAACCGCATGCATACATGATCATAATTCACTCTGACAGTCGCGGACTGTGGGTTTTCAGGAAACCTTAGGTTCTTCGGGCCTGTCAACTTCAGGACTACCTGTCAATCAGCGTTCCCGTTTTAGAAGTTCCTACAAACTCGTCCTGGTTGTCAGAAAAGTCTTGCTCTCCCAGTTCCCCACCAAAACGTAAACCTTAAACTTATGCCCATATCTGCTCGAAAAAGTGTGTGTTTGTCTAAATCACAGCGATGTATGTCTAGCACGCCCCCTCCCGTTGTCATTATCGAGGCGAGCCCTTCGGCGCCTACCAATCACTCATTTGCCCTCCAGACTTGGTCAGGCTCTCACACGTAATACCGCGCTTATTGCAAGTCCGAACTCATTTAACCAATTCCTCTCCCCCCACTGACTGATTCCGATGCTACTCTCTTTATGCAGGTTTACATGGACTGGCTAACGCTGTTTAACACGTCGGCCAGCAGTAACTTTGGAGGAAAGTACGCAGCCGCCTACCGCCAGTTGGTCGGTTTCCAGAGAGTGTCCCTCTTTCCCGGTATGGCGCTCCCTCTGCGTTTCTTTGTGCCGCCTGAAAG